AAGCATTTAAAGATGCAAGACAAAATGTTGTTGAAGTTAAATCATCAAATGCTTCAGAAGAAAATCATTCCAAGGACACTATGTGTTCAAATGATGAAAGGAAGTTGCAGCTTAAAGGAACTATCATCAGTGGGCAGAAAGAGAAAGAAGTCAAAATACTGGCAAAGAAACCAGTAAATAACTCAAAAGAAAAACTAGGCAAGGTGGAGCATGGACCCAAAGCAGTGAACATTCCAAATTCTCCATCGAAACCTTCTAAAAACAATTCTGTAGTTTCATCTCCACACCAGAAGATATCTGATGATCCAACAATGAAAACGTTAAGTCAAGCCAAAAAAGGAGAAGGGTCCAATAGCTCATTTCGTGGTAAAGGTGATGGGGAAGAAATGCTTGAAGAGGAGAAGGTATTTTTTGATGATAGCACAGAACAAAGGTTTTACAAACAGTCTACCATGTCTGAGGATCGTGATAGCGATGATGACGTCTTCATTGGGAAAGTCAGACGGACACGAAAGAAGGAAAGTAGCTCCCATTCTTCCACTGCGGAACCAAAGAAACCAAAAACACAGTTGACTGAAGAAGTACTCAAAACCCATTGGGACATAAAAGATGAGAAAAACAAGCCAAGTATAGAATCCAGGAAGTTTGAATCAGTATTTTTCCATTCATTATCTGGATCTAAAAGCTTCAAAAGAAGTTCCAGAGAACCGGCTACCACAAACAAAGCCTCAGGCTTGCAACAAAGTGAACATCAGATCAAGAATCAATTTAATAAAAGTAAACAAAGACGATTTGACAATGCAAACCCACAATTGCAGCTGCCTCTTCATCCTTCATGGGAAGCTAGCAGGAGGCAAAAAGAACAGCAATCTAAAATTGCTGTATTTCGGAGGGGGGGGAATTATATTTGATGATTGATTAACACGTATTTTTGTGGCATTTTGTATCTTTAGGGGAAAAAAATATATTATAGCTAACCTATTCAGCCTTATGGTTGAATTAATCCCCTTTGTGTGGGTTATATAGGTGTATCGTTTTATTTCTTTGTTTTTCTTTAAGTGGGTTATAAGTTATTTTTATATAAGCCTTTTCCAAATCAAGTTTGTAGCTACAGTTCTCTAGAGGAATATGGGAATTACAGCTGTTTTCACTGATTTCCCTATTTGTGCATATCATAATTCACCTCTGTGTATTCTAATGTTGAGATATATTTAAAATAGTGAAAAACTGCGTGGAATATTGGAGCTATTTAATATAACCAGATCACCTGTGTTAAAAGTTATTACTTTTAGCAAGACTTAAGTAATAATTGAGGATATAAACATAATAAATTATACAATTTTTTAATTAAAAACAAAAAAAAGACAGGAAAGAAAGAAATGACCAAAATAGATTTTAGAAGAGACTCTGAAGTTTGTTCTCCAGTGTAGACATGCTTTAGTGAATGGAAGAAATCAGAAGTCAAAGAGCTGAACAGAAAATTTCAAAGGGCAGTTTGAGAAGGCAAAATCAAGTATTATAATAAAATGTGCAAAGACCTGGAATATCAAAACCAAAATGAAAGAACTCACTGAGCATTTCTCAAGCTCCTTCAGCTTGAGAAATTCCTTCAATTTAAGAAAAAAATTCAAGCCTCAGGTTGCAATATTGAATGATTCTATAGGCAAAATATCCAATGATACAGAAAGCACCAAAAGAAGATCGATGGTATACACAGAGTTATCGTAACAAAAAGAAATGGTCAATGTTCAAACATTTCAAGAGGTAGCTATGATAAAGAGTCAATTATACTGAAGGAAGAAGTCCAATATACACTGAAGACACTGGTGAAGAACAACGCTACACGAATTGATGGAATACAATTGAAATCCTTCAAAAAGCTGATATAGTACTTGAGGTACATATATTTTAAAAGGTCAGGAATTTTTAAAGACAGCTACCTGACCAACCGATTGGAAGAGATCCATGTTTTTGCCCATTCCAAAGAGAGGTAATGCAAGAAAATGTGGAAATCATTGAACGATATAATTAATATCACATGAAGGTTGTTGAAAAATGACTGATCAGTATTTCAACAGGTACTGCCAGAAGTTCAAGGCGGATTCAGAAGAGAACATGGAAATAAGGATCAACTGATTGTTGACATCAGATGGACTGAAAGCACAGAATACTACCAAGATCTTGTGCTTTATTAACTATGCAAAGGCTTTCTATTGTGTGGATCATGACAAGATATGGATAACTCTGCTGCAAAGAATGGGCATTCCAGTTCACGTAATTATGTTCATGAAGAAACTGTATATAGAATAAGAGGCAGTCATTATAACAGAATAAGGGGATACTGAATGGTTAAAACCAGGAAAGGTGTGCATCAAAGTTGTATTCTTTCACCATAATTATTCAATCTATATGATGAGCAAATAATCGGAGAAATTGGATTATATGAGGAAGAACATGGCATAAGAATTGGAGGACGATTCATTAACAACCTACAATACAAACTTGCTTGTTGGACATGTTACCAGGAGGGATGAGTCCCTGGTTAAGTGGAGGGTCAGAGAAAAAGAGGAAGACCCCCACTGAGATGGGTTGACACAGTGGCAGTAGCAATGGGCTCAAGTAAAAGTAATTGTGAGAATGGCACATGACCAGGCAGTACTTCATTATGTTGTGGATAAGGTTGCTATTTATGTAAGAACCAACTCAACGGTCCCTAAGAACAAAAACAACAATGGGCCCTGATCCTTTTATTGCAACATAAGGATTTGTTTGATTAGTCTTTTCCACTGATATTAAGTCTCACTCTTCATTAATCTCCTGAATATGCCGAAGTTGCATACTACTTTCATTTCAGTTTCGAGTTTCTTCTGCTTATACTCCTGGCAGGCCAATGTCCACCTCATTCCTCTTACCTTGGCAAGCTCAAAATCGTTCCAGCTAAGAGATGTGGGAAAGGTTCAGAAAATGGAATCACTGTTAAGTTATTGCTGTTGTTTAGTTCCGTAGAGTTGGTTCAAACTCACAGAGACCCTGTATAATGTTTCTGAGGAATGGGTTATTGTTGTCATGTGCTACCGAGTCAGTACCGACTCATAGCAACCCTATGCACAGCAGAATGAAACACTGCCCAGTCCTGGGCCAATCTCACAATTGTTGTCATGCTTGAGCCCATTTATGCTGCCACTTTACCAATCCATCTCCTTAGGGGTTCTTCCTCTTTTTCGCTGACCCTCCACTTAACTAGGAACTCATCCCTCCTGTTAACATGTCCAACAAGCAAGGAATGAGTAGAAGGATTGAACTGCTGACTCTGAGGTTAGCAGTTCAGTGCTTATCCTACAGCCCTTATTCAGAAAGTTCTTTGTCTTAACATAACTTGCGTTATGAAGAGAGACCAAGGTCAAACTGTGAGTGATAAAAATGATAGAGCCTACAGAGAAACCCTTAGATGTAATTTACTCCAATTATCTTATTTTATGACTAATGTTATTAAGCTTCAGAAAATGAAAACGTTTCCCCCAAATCACACAGCTATTTAGAGACAGAGTCCAAACTAAAATTCATGTCTTCAGGCTCCTTATTCAGTGGGTTTTGTGTTAAGCTATGTTGCTTCTCCTGGCTTAAAACACCAGTTCTAATCAACAGATGCACTAGAAATCATTGATCTTACCTTCTTTTTGGGTAAACAAGCCTAATCTTTCATCTTTTTTCTGGGCTGCTGTACGTTCAACCAGTCTTTCAAACCCCTTCAGAGCTGCCCTGAAATTGTTAGTCTGAAATGCAACACGGAAATTTTGCTTTTCCTCCCTGATATCCATAAGGATGTAGGAAATCTTTTATTTCTGTTCAGAAATAATAGTGTAGTTTCCAATTTAGATAATCTTCCAGCTGTTGAAATGCCCCTCTGCTGTCTCCAATTTTGCTCTATACCTCATTACTTTGATTTTAAAATACAATTCTGACAGTAGGAGTAAGATTTACCCCTCAGATGCTGACAGGGAGGAAAGCTGACTTTGGTCTAATGCATTTCATTACAAGCAAACATGTCAGTGAAAATCTGACTTCATAATGTTACCAGTGTACTTCATATGATCCTCAGTGCATCATAATGTGTCTGTAACATCCTACTTCCTTCATATTGCAGAGCCTGAGATTATTTTCCCACATATTGTATGTGTGTGTGATTATACACTGCTTGAAAAGTAAGGAAACGGGGCTTTTTTCTTTTCTTTTCTTTTATAAATCATTTTTCTCCTTTTAATCTTCAAGATGCTGTGCAGAGTAACAGTCACACTCATTCTTGCAGTTATGCTAGATATGAAAACTTGAACCTCTAAAGATAAAAATGTATGTTTGTACCTGTAATTTCTACCACAATGAAGACAGTTTGAGAGATAATATGGAATAAAAATGTTTCTATCTCCTGTATGCATTGTAATTCAATTTAAGTAATAAAGAGAGCAAGGCATGGAGAAGGCATAGTTGCTGATTGAGGAAGATATTTCAAGGTCATTAATTGAATACATTGAGGCTCCCTGCATATCTCTTCTCTTCCAATTCCAATCTCCAATTCCATTAACCATTGACTCAAGTTTTCTGATCGTCACATTTTTATGGGAAGGAGAGGTTGTTTAATATTTTATCAATGATTAGTTAACTTTCTATACTTTGGATTAGTTAATGAAGTTCTTCCCCCTTAGCAGTTCGTCTTCTTTAAAGAAAGTCCTTTTAATTCAAAGGTGAAGATGGCAGAATTATTCAGCACTGCCAGCTCTAGTACTATTCCCTTGTTGTTCATTCCTGGCTATTAGCTATTAACTCACTGTCAATGAATTAATTCTGACTTATCACGACCATGTAAAGGATTTCCCAGAGAGTAAGTCTTTATGGGAGCAGATAGTTTCATCTTTCTCCCATTTGAGTCAATGGTGGGTTTGAACCACCTACCTGGTTACCTTGTTGTCAGCAACCCAATGTTTAACCCACAGTGCTACCTAGAACATAGAAAGATTTTATATATAGAAAAATATCCTAACTTAATTGATTTCTTCTTTTTTCCCTGTAAAATTTTCAAAGTAGTGAAGAGTGGACTCATTACTTTGAGTTTCCAATTCAAAATGTACAAAAAGCTACAGTAATATAAACAATGTGGTACTGATATAAAGATAAACATACAGACAAATGGAATAGAATTAAGAATCCATAAATGAGAGGTAGGAGAGGCTCATCAACAGAGGTTCAGAAAAAAACATAGAAGGTGTTTCCCGGAGCAGTCCCAGAGTTTTGGGTCTTGTATAAGGTGCTGGGCACCAGTTTCCTTTACCCAATGGTGGAGAAATCTGACTGTGGAAAGGAATATACAGTGATTGCTGAATTGATTGGGACACCCCTTACGGGGCCCATCAGCCTGGGCTGAAATAGACGTTGGGGCCACAGCCAGGCTGATACAGTGATACAGTACTAAAAACCATGGAGTGGCATCTGGAAAAAGATGAATGATGGATTTTTTTTTTTTTTAATTTCTCTTTCCTCCTCTACCCTGTCTCACCTTCACTGCCCAACCTGTACACCTACAGGCAGGTGGAAGCGCACCCTCAAAAAGGTCCAGCACTGCGCCCACAGTTTTCCCATGGCACACTGAGGAGATCCTTAGGAGGAGTCCTACTGATCCCATGGGCTAATCCTTTGATAGCTTCAAATACATCTGACTCTGGGACCCAGCCCTAAAGATGACCTACGTGGGATCCTTTATTCCTGCCTAGCCAGCAAGAAAAAGTAGGTCTGGCTAAACAGCCAAACCGTCTGAGCACCCTGTAAAATCCCAACATAAAAGGTAAGAGCCAACACCAATTACTACACAAAAGGATGCAGCTATTTTGACGATTACAATGTGCACATGCAGATACCTAACTAACCTTCAGAGATAAAAATAGTGGACAGTCTTTCTTCCATTCATTTCTCAATATCTATATGTGCACATACACGGTGGTGACTAGAGGAGGTGCCTGAGCGAGTGGGCACCCCACCCATCACTGGAGGTTTCTATAGTGCATGCACACTGACCTGCAAAACGAAGGTTACTGGACAGTCAACTATGGTTTTCTTTTTCTTTTTGAGTGGTAGTTTTTGTCTCTGCTTTTATATTGTTTCTGGTTTTGGTCCTTTGTGTCTCCCTTTTTTTCCTGGGGGGTGGGAGCTTTCTCTCCCTACCTTACCCAAGAAGTGACAGCAATTATGTCCATATAGCCAAACTACAAGCACACCCCATAATATATCACCCTCTGGACAGGAGCCAATACCAGCTGCTAGGCATTACACACGAAAAGGGAAGGTTATATCCAGATTTGAAAAACAACTATCTGGCCTACTGATTGGAAGAGATCCATATTTGTGCCTATTCCAAGGAGAGGTGATTAAATGGAATGTGGAAATCATCACCTAATCTCTTTGATATCCCTTGTGAGTAAAGTTTTACTAAAGGTAATACAGAAACAGCTGCAAGCATACATTGACAGAGAACTTCCAGAGGTTCAAGCCAGATTCAGAAGAGACCGTGGAATGAGGGATATCATTGCTGATGTCTGATGGAACTTGGCTGAAAGCAGAGACTATTAGAAAGACGTTTACTTGTTTCTTTATTGACTATGCAGAGGCTTTCGATTGTGTGGATCATGACAGGCTATGGACAACATTGTTAAATATGAGTATTCCAGAACACTTAATTGTGGTCATGAGAAATCTGTGCATGGACCAAGAGGCAGTTGTTTGAATAGAACATGGGAACACTGAATGGTTTAAAATTAAGAAAAGTGTGCAACAGGGTTGTATTCTTTCACCATACTTATTCAACCTGTATGCTGAGCAAATAATCCAAGAAGCTGGGTTATATGAAGAAAAACATGGCATCAATATTGGAGGAAGAATCAATAATCTGTGATATGCAGATGATAAAACCCTTATTCCTGAAAGTGAACAGGACTTATAAATATTTACTGATGAAGATCAAAGAGCACAACCTTCAGTATGGATTACATCTCAATGTAAAGAAAACAAAAATTCTCACCACTGG